GTGTTCATCCAGCTCTACACCTTGTTATCTCGGATTCTCCAGCATCTGCAGTTCCTACTATCCCTTCATAAATTGTTATTCTCGTAAACTGGACATACTTTGCTGTGGGGTGGATGGCTAGCATAACTGAGAAGTTGCACCCAAAGTTTTGCCCATTCGTGTGGCCATTTTGCCAGCATACATTGTCACCAAATTTCTGGCAATAAACATTTATAATTATTTGTTAAAGGAGTGAAAATGAACAACCATTTTTGTCTGCAGGATAATAAAAATGTTTTAAGTAAACATGCTTTGTAATATATATTAAACACATGTCTCCACGTTCAAACAATGGGCGGTATGGAACACTGTGATATATGCCTTCTGTAAGATTATTGGAAAGTAGATTTGGAAAGTTGCATTGAAATGTAAAAGAAATTACAGCCAGTACTTTGTGTGGCGCATAGTAACCCCAGAACATTTATTTCACAATGATGTTTGCTAAAACTAAAGAATGGTTTCTATATACATGCTGATAAATTTAACAATGCTATGGGCTTGTTGCAAAGTTGGGTCTTTGGGATTATGAATCACAGAATCAGTTTGACAATGTTAAGGGATCTAATCGCAATTTGTGCTCCTTAAACGAAGCTCACTTTCTCTGACAGCTGAACTCCCTCCACTGTGCTGTTATTCATTGTTCAGCAGGTAGTGTTCTTAACTGAATCAGAAGATTGTCAGTTCAAGTCCCAGTCCAGAGACTCGCAGATGTAATTAAAGCTGACAGTCCAATGCGGTAGAGATAGTAGGAACTGCAGATGCTGGAGAATCCGAGACAACAAGGTGCAGGACTGGATGAACACAGCAGGCCAAGCAGCATCATATGATGCTGCTTGGCCTGCTGTGTTCATCCAGCCCTGCACCTTGTTGTCCAATGCGGTACTGTCTATTGCACTGAGGCCCTCTTAGAGCAAACTAAAAAGCAACACTATATTGAAGGACAGCCAGGATCCTTGGCATCCTGGTAAAACCCTCAACAGGTTCTAAAAGAGAAAACTCGGTCTTTATCGCATGATACAAGCTGGCAGCTACATTGAAGGTAGTATTTCAACAGCTGTAAAAACCTTTGAGACATCCTGACTTCGTGAAGGGGGCTATGAAAATACAAATCCGTCCCTCTCCTCTTAATGGAATGAAATAAATCACTAGTTTATTCAAAATGTTAAAAGCATAGCCACCTCATTTCTTCCATCCCCCAGGTAGCAGGAAACCGGAGACAAAGTAGTAGTTCTTTTCTTCAGAGCCATTTGTTCCAGTTTGAGATTCATATTTTCAATTTCCTCTTCTAAGCACCAGATCCTGTCAATAATTAATGACAGCCACGTTAGTCAATAGCATTAGATGGCCTCAGATGGCTTCTCAGCATCTGACACAGATTTGTTCAAATGACTGACTATGGGGTAATTTTCCATCCTTACATTCATGCTAAGTAGCGTTGTGTGGATGGGCAGCTTCTTAGAAACCTGGGTGCCTGTCGCACTAGATTTTATGACCAGGAATGCGCTGCATGTACCAGCATTTGCATTTTCAGGCACCAAATGATCTCCTTTGCTGCAGTATGTGTTGGCATTACAGGGGGAGCTGCACTGCCTGAGAGTAGGGTCCTGACAAATATGAGGAAATATCAGGTGAAAAAGCAAGCAGAAGCTAAAGTTCTCTCATGTTGCACTGAGGCAAGGGAGTAAGCACAGCAGTATTCCCACCGTCAATAACTAACTTCTAACGTAAAATGGACAGTGTATTGAGACTGAAGAAAACATCACATGTGCTTCAATTACTTGTTACAGAGTCCATTGAAATTCCATTCCAATGAAATCAATGAGTTAGGAATCAGCTGAATTCTATAACAAGCCAGTGACTCCATCACATCGGGGGGGCTCTTGTGTTGCAGTGGTAGTGTCCCTGCCCCTGAGCCAGGAGACCCAGGTTCAAGACCCACCTGCTCCAGAGATGTGACTTAACACTTCTGAACAGGTTGATTTAAAAATATATCCTTTGCATTACATTAACCACAATGTGGTTAAAATGAGAACATAGCTCTCTTTGATAAGGTTCATGTGGCACAGTGGTAGTGTACTTACCTGTGAGCCACAAGACCTAGGTTCAAGTCCCACCTACTCCAGAGCTCTCTGAACAGTTTGATTCAAAATATTGCACCCACCCTCCTCCAGAATGAGCTAATGGGAAACATAATTCAGTGTACACTCCCACCATAATCTGTCATAGCTTCCTTGCTATCCAAGGACAATTAATCAGGGTTCACTATGAAGCAAGGCAAGGAGGAATGCCCCAATAACTACCTCAGCTGCCAGGTGACCAAAAGCACACTGGAACTGTTATGTTACACCACACTCCAGTCAACTGAGTTCTATCCATGTCCATTGGTGGTACCAATTTCCACATCCACAACAACATGGAAAGAGGCCCTTTGGCCCAACCCATGTTGATATTTAACTTCCAACATGAGTACTATCCTAATACCATGTGCCCCCTCTTTATACCTTGCCCCTTTCCTTCTAACCTATTCCAGCTGTGGAGTGCAGTCATGTAGGCAAGGATGGGGAAGGCAAGAAAAATTGTAGGAAAATTGATAATACACCTCCCTATCAAAAGCAGCCAGGACATTCAGGACCAGGAACAAAATGATGGAGGAACATTGCAGTTTATGCCTTTCTTCTGAATACATAGGATTTGTGGAACATCTTTTTAAGTTAGTCACCATGATCCCATATTCAGCTGTAAGAAAAAACCCAAACATAAACCGCAGTGTGAAACTTTGATTGCAAATGTACTGAGGTACAATTTTCCACCCATTTACCTGTCCTGGAATTCTCTCTCTCTTTCAGCTTCATCCAGTTTAAGTCCCTTCTGTGTCACCTCCTCCTTGTGAAGTAGCTTCACCTTAGTTTCTAAAAGCTGGAGAAAAATGAGAAGAATATTCAATATTTTGTATAGAATCCATCACCCATACCATTCCATTACATTTATCATGCAGGGTTTTCTTTGATAATTGATATCTTCCATCCAGCCAGGAAATTGCATTAAAAATGACATGGACGTCAATAACAACGAGGTAAGAGATTTAAAAACAGTTATGTTCCTGAGATGGGCAGTAATGGACAGCATGTTATTTCACCTGATAGGAATTTGAGCCTGCTCTGTATTCATCTAGACTTTATGTTTGTTTATTCTGAAGTAATTCTAACTTAAAGCATCACATGAGGCTTTATTGACTGAATAAAGACACCCAGAGAGCTAAAAGGTAGATTCCAACAGCATAACAGAAAGGAGCAGGGGTAACCATCTCTTGGGCCTGTTCCACAATTATATAAAATCATGGCTGATTTTCTACTTACCCTTCATAGCCTTCACCTCCCCTGTCATCACAAACTTGTCTTGAAAATATTCAAAGACCCAGCACCATCACACTCTGGGGTAGAGATTAATAGAAATTTAAAGATTGACGACTGTCTAGGTGAAGAAATTCCTTTGGATGTCCCTCTTAAATGAACCTCCCCTTATTCTAAAACGATGACCCCAGTTCCAGATCTGTACAGAGCTCTAAGGGGACCCATCCTCCCAGTGTTCACCCTGTCAAACCCGCTCAGAATCTTACATTCCTCAATAAGATCACCTCTCATTTTTTTGAACTCCAACTAGCAGGGGTTCAACCAGTACATCCTTTCCTCATAAGACAATCTCTTCAACCCAAGAATCATTCCAGTGAACCTGAGCTGCCTCCCAAAGCAAGTAGTTCCCTCCTTACATAAGGAGAACAAAAGTGTACACAGTACTTCAGGGTGGTCTATACAGATGTAGCAAAACTTCACAACTTTTATACTCTGTCCCCGTAGAGGTATGAAAAATCTCAGGGTCTATCTCAGAAATAATTATGCAATAGCAGGAGACACTTCTGTTATGCTCCTTTGTATCCACTTTTGTAGGATGGGTGAGCCACTGTAAAATAAGTGAGCAAACATTACCATTTTATCATCCATGTCACAAGAACACTCTGTTCTCTAAAATTGCTCACAGGTGCTTCTAAGCTGCAGGCTTTACATCCTGAGAATAATTTTCTTCACTCCTGGAAAATTGTAGACAGTGCACACTTATGTTTCTTACTCGTACTTGGCAAGACTTGTGTTGAAAAATTATCCCCATCTCCTTGAGCTCTATTTCCCAGCTTTCAACTTCTGCTCTCACTCCAATCTGCAAGTGGAATCTGCTTTTATAGTAGTTTACAATGACCACTTTCCATCAAGCCTCCTCTCTAAAATATCTCTTTTTTTATTTGATATTTTATCTGTTCAGCTTATTCTGATTTATGAGACATTCCACTATTTGGGGAACCTTTACTTTATTACGTTCATAGGCACAATGGAGCTCCATCTAAAGGAAATTGGGTTGTAGAGCAAGCTGCCTGACAGAACAAACTAATGGTAACCTCAGGGTTTTTCTGTGAGAAAACACTTTCTGATTTCACATCTTGATGACCTCTTAATTTTAAAGCAATCCTCTCTCCAGTTCTGGGTAATTTTTCTATACCTATGTACATTGAACATTTTAAGCTGAATAATCCTTCGACCACAGGGGAGTACAAACCCAAGTTCACGCTCACTATCCTCATAAATTAATGCTTTAAGTTTTGATATTATTTTGATGAATCTATGCAGTGTGCCTTCCAAGAGCACTAAACCTTCCCGAAGTGTGGTCACCACAACAGAATGCTGGACTGTTGATAGGGGTTTAACCAAGGCTCTGTACAATTGAAACTTCACTCCCAGCTCCCTTGAAATAAAGGTCATTATTCCAGAAGAGATAGTAAGAACTGCCGATGCTGGAGTCAGAGATAACGCAGTGTGGAGCTGGAGGAACACGGCAGGTCAGGCAGCATCAGAGAAGCAGGAAAG